ATTATATTATATTATATTATGTGTTATTATATTATATTATATTATATGTTATTATATTATATTATGTGTTATTATATTATATTATATTATATTATGTGTTATTATATTATATTATATTATATGTTATTATATTATATTATGTGTTATTATATTATATTATATTATATTATGTGTTATTATATTATATTATATTATATGTTATTATATTATATTATGTGTTATTATATTATATTATATTATATTATGTGTTATTATATTATATTATATTATATGTTATTATATTATATTATGTGTTATTATATTATATTATATTATATTATGTGTTATTATATTATATTATATTATATGTTATTATATTATATTATGTGTTATTATATTATATTATATTATATTATGTGTTATTATATTATATTATATTATATGTTATTATATTATATTATGTGTTATTATATTATATTATATTATATTATGTGTTATTATATTATATTATATTATATGTTATTATATTATCTTTTTTTTTTTCGTTTTGTTTCTGAAACAAAATGAAAAAAACAAAAATCAAATGTTTCAAACAAATCTCTTGAATATCTTTCAAAGATTTGATGCTACAAACCTTCCAAACTCTGTCAAATCCAGCAACTAGATCTTCTTTGGAGGTGTCCATTGTGGCAGCTTGCTGCCTTGTAAACAAAACTTTGTTTCCATTTGAACTGGTAAAGCAGCTCACCAGTCAGACTGGAGCTGTCTATTTTAGACTTGCAATTCTTGAAAAAACGTATATCAGACGGTGAACACCAAGTGGGGTCCATGGCCATGCCACATAAGGCCATCTTACTTGTTAACTTTTCTACAGGAAAGCTATTTAAATTGCTTGAAACTGGCCTTGAGAAACAAACATGTGTTTGATAAAAAATAAAAAAAAACACTTGGAAAAACCTTTAAAAATGTGATTTGACATTTTAAAAGCCTCAGTGAGAGTGAAGTAGTGTCTGAAAGTCTTATTGAGAGTGCCTGTCTCAGTCTTTGCATGCAGTGCACACATTCAATATGTCTAGCACTGTCATTATTAATATATAAAGGTGCTCTTTAAGTTTGTAGAAATAATCGAATTTGTTGTTATTCCTTAAATTGCGTTTATAAAAATCCTTTCACTTCTTTTTAGCTGACACACCTCTTAAGTTCACTCACTGCTGACTGTTTAGTTAGTAAGATTCAATTTTTTGCGTCTCACTAAAATAATTTATTATATTAAATTGATGAATGCTAGCAGTTAAAAGGAAATGTAAAATAACTGAAAATAAAATTCAAATTCAGAGTAAAACTCATCCAATGCAAGATTTGCTGTAGTTGCTGCTTGTTTTGACACCAAAGGGTCATGCTAACATTTCACTTGTCAAACTGCTGAACGTGTTAGAAGCTCTATCCTTTGTAGTAGACACTTAAAATGAAAATCGCTATTTTTACACATCAGCAGAAATTCTCTAAAGTGAACTCACCGTCTGTCTAAAGGTGCTGGTGTATGACAATGTACGTTGAGAACATGTGTGTGTGTGTGTGTGTGTGTGTGTGTGTGTGTGTGTGTGTGTGT